AATTTTACAGTGTTTTTAATAGAATATTTTAATTACGTGTTTTGAAATTCTTTTAATTTAAACCAAATTGAAAGTAATTACGTCCAAAATGTTGTGTTTAGGTTTCAAATTAGTTTTTCCCTAAGTGATTTTAAGTGTAACTTTTAAAGTTTGAAATCCGTTTTTAAATTACATTAACAGTATACAGCAGTTTAAAATCAGATACATCCCATCTACATTAAACATCTAAAAGTTGTTATAAACATAAAAAGCATTTATTATTGGAAACTTTAAATCATATGTTTCAAGTAAAATCTTCAGCAAGGGAAAATCTTCAGCAATCAAGGGGAAAAAAGGGAAAAGAAAAAAACAAGTAGTTTGTCTTTGTGTGGTATGTTTTTACGAAAACGAATAAACGTTTTCGCTGGGTAAAACATTGTTTGGTTCTTTCCACGAACATCCGATACGGGCTAGTGTATCCGATTGTTTCGAGAAGAGCTGTTGGCCCAAAGAAAGACGTTTTCGCTGGGTAAACATTGTGTTGGTTCTTTCCACGAATCCGAACGGGCTTTTCGTTTCGGATTTGGCCCAAAAGTAAACGGAAAAATTCGCATGTGAAAAATTCTGTATTGAAGGTTTTAAAGGAAAACGTTTAGCGCCTTGGAAAAATTAACGGGAAAAATCGCATGTGAAAGGATTCTAACTTCCCTGTTCTTACATGAAAGTTATAAAACGCCTCTCTAGTATGTTGACGTTTTGAGATGTAGACGCGAGTGCTGACACTTTATTTAGACGTTAGCGATGGAAAAATAAACGGGAAAATCGCATGTGCAAGAATTCTAGCTTCCCTCTTCTTGGATGAAAGTTATAGAACCGCCTCACATATATACTGCCGTTTCGAGATGTAGACAGGAGTGCTGTAATGCCACACTTTATATAACCACCGCTTCGCCTCAAGAGACAACGCACTTTGATTAAAAAAAGAGAAGATACGGCCACGTAATATTAAAATCGTAACACTAGCTGAATTGTTCTAACGTAAAAGTGTACGAGAAATCTGGTGAGTAATAAACAAGTAGTAATGTTTTGTAGAGACTACTAGTTTCGTTAACTAATAAATCGCTTTTCGTAATATTAAATCGATCACCCTCAAGCGCAAGCGCAACCCTGGTTGGCATTGTGCCAAAACACATAGACTCGTCCAAAAAGGGGTGGTATTACTTGCTGCGACGTGAAAGGTCTTCTCATCTCCGGAAAAGCTATGCTGGAGGGAAAGAAAGTCCCCATCCTTTCACCCTATTTTCGGCGAAATGCGCATTGCGATCATCGCGATGTTGCCCTCTCGCAGCAGGCGATGGTGTAAAATTGAAATTACAAGCGATAACCGCTTCGCCGACACAGCGTAATGCAAAGTTATGTTCGGGCTGGTAACCCAACATAGCGGAGAGGCGTGGCTTATAGGATGATTAGGCTTGGTGGAAGTAAACACAGGAATTTAATTGTAGTTTAAATAACAAGCTTGAAAGACGGTACGAGACAACTGACGAATGTTCGAATTCCAATAATGAAAGTAAACATGCTTTAATTCCGAGTTTTATAAGTAGTGCGAAAGATTGAGAACTAAATGCGAGATAAATGTGATAGATGAAAACTACCAGTTTAAAAGGCAGGTGGTTGATAGTTGGAAACCCGTCAGGATACATAATCTAGAGTAGACACTCCCATATGATAGTTAAACATTAAGGCATTAAGCTATACATTGAGGCAAAATTTTAATTATTAATTACAAGTGAAAATTAAATATTTGTAATAAAATATCAAACGAGAGCATGTTGATGTAAATCCGGGCATAGAATCATAGGTTTAATAATTGATAATTTCTTTTAAAGGAATGCCGTTGATGTGTAGAGTTGCTTCGATCGCATCGATTCGATTTATTGCGTCATCACGTAGTTTTGATAAACGTTAAGTTGGAGTAGCAGAATTAAACCACCGTGAAATTAAAAAGAACAGTGACTGATTTCTGTTTGTGAAACCCGATGGGAAAGAATGCAAATAAATGTTAATCTTCAGTGAAGTGTAGGCGTCAGACAAGTGTTTTAGCCTTTTCTTACATAATAAAAACGTTCCAATAAAAACGTTGAAAAAAGAACGCAGAAAATTAAAAACTTGCATTGTCGACTGGTAAATAAAGTTATTCATTCATGATACTGCTTAATATGAGAAATGAACACAAGTTTAAACTGATATGCAAACATTTTAACAATATCTTAATTAAACGGAAAAAATTAAAATATCTGCTTCACAGCCTAAGCGATAAAATGAATTTAATAACTATTAATCACCCCTTGTGACAAACCTTCATAATATATCATCTCTGAATGTTGTCTGAAATTTCTCAAGAGTATACGTATAATTCTAATATTTATTTTGCGAGGCCCCTCCCTAACTCCGCCGTGACTGTAAAAATATTTACTCGCGATTACCAAACCAATATTAATTCGGGTATCAGACTTATATTTTATAAAATAGCATATAATTGAAAAATATCCTCTCTCCACAAACACTTTCATGCGTATGAGTTTTCCTATATTTTAGAAATTAATTTTATCAGATTAGCGGGAAAAGGTTTATTAGTAGTTTGTGACTCAGGACAGTTTTAAAGGATTACTTGTATTCTTACACTGTTTAAACATTCTGCTTTGTACATAGTCCTGCACTTTACAAATTCTACTCTGTACAAATTGGATATATTACACACAATATTTGCCTTTGTTAATAAAATAATTTTATCATTTCAAATATGTAGTAGTGTACAATATGGGACATCAAACTGACCTCTGACCATCATTAGTGCACACCTGCTTCCTGTTCAAAGTATATGAAATGCAGATATGAAATGTTCTCAGTGATAAATAAACTCACAATTAGGGTTAATTCCCTAGAGAACTCGAGCTTAAATAAGCCTGAAAATTAACCCTCGGGCCGACGCTATCGAACACTTTAGCCACGTTTATCATGACTAAGACAACACATTGTTTATTATGGAAGGCACCTCTAATAAATTCTGTCAGACGCACCAACTGCTTCGTCACAGAGATTTTTTCTAAAGCCAAATTGCTGTGCGGGAAGTCTGTCAAAAAAGGATGTATTCTGGCATGGATAACCTTTTCAAAATTTTGCTCGCATCGAAAAGAGGGCTGATAGTACTCAGTTTTTGTGAGGTCTTTGTGAGTGTTAGGCATCTTTTAACAGATTACGCAACGAGTGATGGTGTAGCACCGGGGTGCCTGGGTCTTAGACCCTATCCCCAAATGAAAATATGCCACTTCGGGTACAATACAAAGTTACAACTTATAGTATTATATAAATATGCCCAGGATATCTTAAGGGTTTTTTTTCAAATAATTATTTATAATGGCCTTAATAAATGACTTGATGAATATTTGTAAGATGAATATTTGTAACAAGCATACATGATTCGGTGATGAAAATGCCGTCCAGAAAAGCTGCAAACTCCGTCGAGCCATTGGGAACAATAATAAATGAACACATGAAAATTGTCAAGCAAACATTTGGTAAATGCAAGACCCAGTCAGCATTATTAAAAATGTGATCATAATCATAGAATAAATTAAGTAAGGAGCTCAAGTTAAAAGTAAACAGTTACATACAATACAAAATCATACTATATATAAGGTAGCCATGGTGCAGTTAAGCTTAATCAAGAGTGTAACTAAGAACGGCCATAGGCCTTTTGATATTACATTGATCATTTGCGTCGTAATCATAAATTTTAATTGCAGTGTTGTTAATAAACTCTATGTCTTTATAGAATTTCTTAGCAAGGCGATAGTAAAAGGTTCCAATGTGGTCAATTTTCAGTTCAGCATGCAAATCTGTAAATCCGAAGCTACCATGAAACATTAGTAATTTGTCTCAAAACCCCGTTTTGTGCAGTTTGCAATTTCTTCCTTAAGGATCTACTAGAATAAGCCCAAACAGGGCAAGCATAACGCAATATTGGACGTAGAAGGGACTTGTTAAATGAGTAACTTGTTGTCTATAGAAAGAATGCTATTTCACGCTGTTAACCCGCGAAGACGCGCGCTGCTTTTAGCTACGCGAGGACGCGCGTCGGGCTCCGTAGGCCCGAAGCGTTATTTCTTAACGAAAAAAAAATAAAATTGTTTGTGTAATCGAAGAAAAAAATTAAATAATAAAAAGTATATAAAATATAAAAATATACTTTGAATTTAATAATTCTAAAAAAATTGTATTTTAAATACACTTTTAAGATTGAAATTATTTATCATTAACAGAAAAAATCAGACTGATTTCTTTTTGTGCGCAAACGAAATTTAGTACTAATTTATGTAATATTAAATTTTTACAGAAATATTTTCAAAAAAAAAAAACTTACATTTCACATTTTTTTGCAAAAAATCGCGCTGTGTTTACCGCAAACATTTTTCTCTCACTTAGCGCAGCAAATTTGTGGTTTTCGGTCCTTTACGCTAGGACATATATGGCATCTTTCCCTAGAACACTCCTGTTTTTTTTGGCGAGTGTCCTTCCCAATTTTCCCTATATCTGCAATTTAATTTTTCACTCAATTCGCGTGGAAATTTTGCTGCGAGCTTCTTTCTTGAATGTGATCCTTGAAAAGTTCTAATGCAAATTCTTTGATAAATAAACTTCGTTTCCTATATTGCACTACTGGCGTCCTCGAAGATAACAATAATATTCTAGCATTCATAGCTGCAATGTTGAACATACTGAAGAATACTGCCATTGGTCATCTGTTGCTAATTCTAGCAGTACTATAAATGGTTACTACATCTATAGCACCCTTTGTTAAATCATAAAAAGTCATAATTTCTGTTTTTTTTATTTGCTTCTCCAGTCGAAACATCGATGGCTCTGTCATTATGCATGGTGGACAATAGAACAACGCATTTATTTTTGTTTGGTGTGTAGGAAACTAATGTCATATTTCTTTGAAATCCAAATAATGATGATCAAACTTCTCTTTTTCTGCCACAAGTAAAATATATTGGCAGTTCTTTTTTATTTTTTCTGATAGTTCCCACGAGCGTAATTTTCTTTTCAAGGTGATTCTTTACCAAGGTATAACTGGTAAACCAGTTGTACACGGTAAGGTTGCGCCCTGGATTCAAAATAGGCTCTCTAAACCTCTTGACTACTTTATCAAGACCATTTTCTGAGCTGCACGACCGTTTGGGTTGTGTTCCTGCATGAATTTCAAGATTTGAAGTACAAAATGTCCTTGCATCAAAAACAGCAAAAACTTTAATTCCATATTTTGCAGGTTTACTTGGAATGTATTGAAGAAAGGAGCATCTTCTTATAAAAGGTTCTAATTTTTCGTCAGTTGTGATGTATTCGCCAGCATTTTTAACGAACTTTTCAAAATCATTTCTTATCGGAGCCAGTTTATCCATTTCTCTTCTAGAAGGACGATCTCTTAGGTCATCAAATCCCAAACATCTCATTAGGATTAAAAAACGTTTATGAGACACTGTTCGATGAAAAATGTCAAGCCCTGTCCCGTCAGTCGCCCAAACTTCGCAACATTTACGTGAGAAGCCTTGTATTTTAAAACAAAATTCTCCAAAATAAAGAAGACAGATAAATGATCTGATTTCTGTAATATTCTTGTGTCGAGCAGCTCTCTACCTTTCAAATTTGATGGCTATCTTTGACAAGATATCAATTCACGGAAACAGAAATGCTGAATTCATTACTAGATTCATCGCTTGAATCTAATGTCTCTTCAGAATTCGATTGGTGATCACTAAACTGTTCTTCATCAATTATTTCTTCGTCTTCTTCATTAACTGAATCTTCATCAGTCAACATTTCGGCTAATAGTTTCTGTAATCTTTTCATTTCATCGTCATAAATCAAATAGCGTGACATTTTTGCAACTGCCTGACATCTTTCACATTTTTAAATGACAATGCTAGCGAGCGTCTCGGGCCTGGGAAGCCCGGCTACACAGTTTCTGAGAAAATATGGAGGGATAAATTCCGGAAATGATTGTGAATGACACGTACATGACCTTAAACTCAGCTACTAAGAAGTTCGATAAATTTCACCAAAGGGTGAAATTTTTGTATTATGTTTTTGTAACGACCGGGCCTGGTCGGACTTGCCTGTACCAGGGAATTGACACTCCGTAGAAATGTAGGTTTTTATTGAACTTCTCCTTTTTTGTTAACAGGATTGCCTGAGTCTTTTCCACATTAACCTTAATTTTCCATCTGATGAGTCAAGTCTCTAATGCATGTATGTGGTTTTGTAGCCGTTGTATAGCCGGCCTTGTGTAAGGATCGCAGTGTCATCAGCATACATTGCGAGTCTTGTGTTGTTCAGAGTGGGTATGTCGTTCACGTATATATTAAAAAGTAAAGGTCCGCGAAGACTTCCCTGGGGGACGCCTGCAAGGAAAAGTTTAGGTGTAGAGAGAATTCCTGTGACACGAAAGACAAAGTGTCTACCTGTCAGGCAGGATTTAATTATGTGTTTAATGTACTCTTGGAGCCCCGAAATGTGTAAATTGTAAATAAGAGCACCCAGCCAAACACGATCGAAAGTCTTAGCTTTGTCGAGAAAAAAGCCTCTTGTGACGTTATTACGTTGCAAGCCTTTACTGATTAATTCTAAATCTCTATACAGCTCTATACAGTAAAAGAGTCACAGAAAAACGGCTCAGAGTAAGTTTGTAATCACGTAAGTCAGGCACAGTCTTCTCATTTTCACTTCGATTAAGGATTCTGTACATACTAGCATAAGAAATATATTAGTTCATGCAGTTTTATACGTCGATATTTATAGATAATTGTTTTGGCTATGTTTATTATAATCTTGTTCACCGTAACGGCTGGAGTGCCTAAACCATCATGCTGTGTAAACAAAACTCAAATCTTCATCTCTGAATACTGTTCCACTAGTGTTTAAACCACTGAAATGGTGATTATGGTAGAACATCTTTGGTAAAAATTTACTCTACGGTAACCCTTGGCAAATCGTTTCTTCTTTTATATCAAGATCGTCACCTGGAAGAATCGGCACAAATTTCAAGATGGCCGTTACACAAAACCAAAATAAGAAGTCAAAGACATACACAAACTTGGTGTCCATGTACACATCGACCTATTTTAACTTTAAAAAAAAAAACAGAAAACTGCACAAACTAGGTATTGTGCACTGCCTTAACTTTGCACATGTACACATTGATCTATTTTCACTTTAAGAAAACCAGAAAGTTAAAAATATCATGTTTACAAGAAAAAATTCGCCACTGTCTTAACACACAGAGACAACCAAAAATACAAAAACAGAGAGGAATAAGTTACCAAAAATACATATTTTCTAACATAAAAATATTAAACAACAAATCTTTTAAGAAAAATTAACACACAGAGACGAATAAATAAATGAAGCGTCATTTTTTTAACATACCTTTTTTTTTCACATGCATACGTTTAGGCTTCCCACCACCATTTCCTCCATCCTCCAGGTAAGCAATTCAATTAAATTCATCGTCTGTTATTCACCTCAGACATACTCAAACGATGGTACCCACACCAAAATAATAGCAAGTTCAAAATACAAAACCATACCACTTACGTGCAACCAAACATAGCAATTGAAAAGAATGGTAAGAACCAAAAACACGGGTCCGTACAAAAGGGTTACTATTACAAAATGTAGTCCAAAACTAAATTTATCACAACACGTTGGCAATATTTCCAGAAATAACCCCTTTATATTGACAAAAACTTATTTTTTTCAAAGGCTATTTTCGCCAACATTATCAACATTACGGTTACGGAAAAACTTATTTGTCGCAATGGGCTTCCAGATTTCACGAACAACCAATACCACTTGGCGATTTTTTCAGACAAAAAACAAGGTGTACCATACAGTAAAGATTAGCCGCATCTTCATTTACTACTGCTACAACATAAAATATACGTCTTTCGTAGATTTCTGCAGTTAAACTCAAAAGTTTAAAATTGCATTTTGCTTATCATGACCAGATTTTATTTTCTGCACGTAGCTAACAATTACTTATGTGTTGTCAGATAAATGTTACCAGATGCAGTTAATTATTTTTTACTATCTCATGAGACAAGTTTTTTTGCTCCTGCAAGACAGCTTTACTTTGTGTTGCAAAATAAATTCCTTCTCACTCTTTTTAGACTTGCCTACACATTAAATTTTATGATTAGGTAAGATGTGATTATCATAATTTTGTTTCTCTCCTTATTTTGGCAACTTTATATGTTGATTCGTTATTTAGGTTACCTACCAGTGGCTGACTGATAAAACTGCTCATATGGTTCAGCTGGTAGGTTGAGTTTAATTTCTGACATAAAAAAATTTTAAAAGGCATACTACCACATGTTTATTTTACTAATACATACGTAATACGATCAAATAATGGATTAACTAAACTGTTTATATGGTACTATATGTACTATATGTTAAAATATTTTAAAAGCTTCCTTTAATTTGCATTCTAATAGTCATTTGTTTAAATTTAATTATGAATTATATTCACATGTAGTAATTGCATTTTATTTATTTTTGGCAATGGCAAAGCTCCAGTTTATCACCAGTATTTAGAGTTTTTATATACAGATGAATACATATTCCTCTTTTACATGGATATAAGATTATTTTTCAGGAATTTAAGGAAAATGTGATAAATTGGATTTATAAAAACTATTTTGAATTTTGAAAAGTGTTTTTCCTCTGTTAACCATAATATAGTGCCATAAATTTCTGAATGTGTTTAGTTTTCATCCAAATAATAGGTTTACAAAAATTTGTCATATTATAGTTATTG